TCGGAAATGGTTGGTGACCGACAGAGACTCCAAGGACGCCCGCTTGGCGACGGCCCAGTTGACATACACATAATCGCCGAGGATTCGCCACAGAAACAACTACCAGCTGGGTGAGTAGGGCATCTTGAAGCCCACGTAGATTCGTGCAGTTGTCCGTGGTGATTGCTGTCAAATATCTGTTGAACTCTGGATTGTTCAATATACGGGCCGCTTGCTGCATATGTGGTCGACACACTGAGTTCCGGCGGGAACAGCACATATGCCTTGTCGTTCATGGAGCAAGAGTCGTCGAGTGGCACATCGACACTGGCCCTGAAATTTTCCAAGGACGTAGGGATACAATGCATGCACCACAGGTGCTGAAGGGGACCAAAACGGCGAGTGTTGACAAGTGGAAAACTGGCAGCGCGTACAAACGAGGCGTCCGGTATTGGTGAAGCAGACGACCCCTGCTTCCTCCCGGCCTGCGGCCCGGACACAACGCAGGCAGCAAGGGGAGTCGTTCTCCGGAACCGACATGCGGACATCAATGGCGGAGGCAACCGCAGGGGCGGACTCGGTAGGGGCGGATATCTCTCAGAGGGCATGCCGGCGGCGATAGGTCGGGTGAAAGACCGCATCGGCTAGGGTTTGGTGCTTGCGAGAGACTCATACCCCCATTTATTCCAAACCTGTGTCGTCGCGGCGTCTCTAGTGAAGATGTAGTAACCATTGGGGACATGAAACCAGGTTCTACCATAGGCGTACGCAACTGGTAGTTTTCTCACAGGGATTTGACCCTGATCTAGGTTTCCATTGGCATTAAAATCTGCTGGGTAATTCTCGTATCGTTCCTTGGTGCTTAGGAATTTCACAGCAAGATACACCCAGTAGTCACTCAGTCGGACATTCGCGGGGCTAGGTCATTATTCGTGCAAAGGAATCCCATGTATGTGATATCATCCATAGGAGTTGGGACATATTTCTCCATTTCCAGAGCATCCCTTGCGCTGGAGTCAACAACAACGCCGTTGCAGACCCACGCAGCCTGGTGGCTACCGTCCTCTCCGTACTTGGATTCATCCAACCTCTGTCGCAAAGAGCGGGGCGACGGACCAAGCCCAGCTGGTGTATACACCAGTCTGGGCTGCTCAGAAGGGGTGCAGCTCACCCTCATCGACCTCGTCAATAGCTACCTTAATCCTTGCACAATCATCCTTGAAGGATAACTTCTTTACACGGAGGCATCAGACATATAGCCTACTCTCTCATAACGCCACACATCTCAGACCAACGATGCGGAAAACGTAACGTTATTCCAATCTTTGGTAATAAGGGGCTCGAGAAGAATTTCCAGCTTCGCTCGGATTTCTGCCGCAACCAGTCCACCATAGGCCAAGCAAGAAAATCTATCCACGAACAACGGCAGATTGGTCATGTTGGTTCCAGGCAACTCATTGGTGAACCGAAGCGGATAGCCCAAGGACGACAGATATGGGCTGCTTCCACTGACTTAGGGTCCATGGGTCTGGCACCGGCTGGTAGTCCAGTCTGGTGTGTTCAACGCCGTGCTCAAAAAATTGTTTCGTGCAGGTTTGTTGCAAGATGTTTAGTTGTTGTCTCTAGTTTGGGGGTTTTTTTTTTGGAATCAATCCATAGTAATGGGCGCCCCATTAAACAAGAAGTGTATCATACCCGGAGGCACGAATGGCCCATGTTCTGTCAGGGCACAGTTTAACGGCCGGGGTCTGTATTATTTCTGGAGTTCAGCACTCCTACAAGCACTGAAAAGCTCATGGGTACAAGTATGAAGCTAGCCACACCACTATTGCAATCAACAACACATGCGAGACGATCAGCGCTGGGATTGAGACAATACTTACTTGAGAGTGAGATGTACAAGAGAGTTGCAGTACGTATATCTTCAGAAAGGGTATATGCTCGATGTACGAGCGTAACAACTGCCCCGGAACAATGACACTCGAAGAATTGCGATTGGCAGTCAACCAGCCAGATTTTTAACAGGCCGCTGATGAACTGGTTCTAGATATGTATGTTCACTGCCTCTTCCGGTCCCGGAGAGAGCCACAAGCACGGTGGGCGAGGCGATGACGATTGTTATGTCTGATATAGATCTGTTAGCTAGGTGGCTATATTGCGTCTGGAAGGTTTGTATAGTCTGACTTGATATTGATACTTTTTCTGGTGGATGATTGTTGAAGACTGTATATCTTGGCTGGAGGGGATATAGAATTAGATCCGGTTTGATGGATATATGTATATAGATATCTCGTGGCTTGAGAATGTGAGTTTGAACAGTAGACGTAGTAAATAGGGTAAGATACGGGCAGAGGGAAAGGTCTATGATAGAAGAGTAAAGCAGAAATAGAAGAGAGGAGAGAAAGGGGTATAAATATTCATCAAGGAGGCCATTGCTACTGAATGCTTGCTGGCCCATTCATTGTTCTGAAACCAGTCATGGGGACAATTGATATTCATGTGTGTAGTGAAAGGGCCAGTGAATGGTTGATTCCATGTAAAGATTGTTTTGCTGTGGACTATAAGCACTTGTTACATGTTGACAGAAATCATCTACGAATTGTCCTTGTCATGGTTATTGTCGATAGTTGGAAGATGGTCCTTGGACAAGAAAGAACATTGTTACTTGGAATGATACATATGTACGAACCGTATATAGTAGACATGGCGTAGGCTGTCATAGTAAAACTGCCAATCTAGTAAGATCATGAAGGCATTGATAAACCACGAATCTATTCAGGTCACCCTTGCTTTTGTAATTACTCATCATAATATACCACGGCTTTTCTATCCTCGCACCCACCCGCCGAAATTACCTCGACAGGGCGATGTCATCAATTCTCATAATCATCTTCACCGTCTCGGCCGCCAGCTCGATGGAGCTGGTGCTGACCAGGAGAGGCTGCAAGATGTTCTCCTCGGTGATGTCGTCCTTGACACCGCCGCTGCGGATGCTCACGCCGGCGTTGTGCTGGCCCTGCGCGTGACGGTGGCGCAGGTCGGTGACCACCTTGATCGAGTTGAGACCGGCGTTCTCGGCGAGCGTCGTAGGGATGACCTCCATGGCGTCGGCGAAGGCCTTGAAGCAGATGGCCTCGGTGCCCGTCAGCTCGCGGGAGCGCATGGCCAGGGCGTGGGCGACCTGGATCTCAGGGGCGCCACCACCGGCAATGAGGGCGCGCTTCTTCACCAGACAGCGGATCACACAGAGGGCGTCGTGCAGGGAACGCTCGGCTTCGTCCAGGATGAGGCTGTTGGCGCCGCGAACGACGAGGGACACGGTCTGGTTGGTGGGGACAAGGGGAGCCTTGATGCCCGTGATCTTCACGTAGCGGGCACCGGAGGCCTGGACTTCCTCGATCAGATCCGCGGTACCCAACTTGTCCTCCGTGAACGAGTCGATGTTCGCCACGGGCTTGCAGCCGAGGCTCTTGGACAAGAACTCGATCTCGTCACGCTCGACGTCCTTGACCACAGCGATCTTCAGACGAGAAAGGAAGTGGAGGGAAAGGTCGTTGACGGCATCGCGGAGGATGGACTTTTGGATGAGGAGGACATTGCACTTGGTCTTCTGGATCTTCTTCACCATGTTAAGCAGGTACTGGCGCTCTTCCTTGAGGATCTTGTCCATTTGACGGTAGTCGTTCACGACAATCTGGTTTTCCATCTGCATTTCAAAGGTGTCAGTGACTGGCAGACCATAGACTGGGAAGTAGAGGTTCACGCACATCAGGCTTGGGGGGACTGAGCTGGAACTGGATCAGACCTATCCGGGCCTTCTCAACTCGTGTGGGACCACCGCTGCTCTTGATGACCTGCTGGTTCAGGACCAGACCGTCCACCATCTCACTGTCCTCGATCGTTCCGCCGACCTTCTTGACAATACGAATGTTTCGCAGATCGACGTTCTCCGCAGTCTTGGGGTCGACAACCTTCAGCACCGAGTCAACGGCCATGGGGCCCAGGAGGTTGGAATGCTGCGACACGATCTTCGAGGAAAGCGACGTGGAGGCGGCCTGGAGCAGGACGGTACGGTCCATCAAGTTGATCGGACGGGACATGCTGTGGAGGATCTCGACGGCGGCGCCGGCGGCTCTCTGGAAGGATTCGGCGATGACGGTGGGGTGAAGGCCCTTGGCCAGCAGCCGCTCGGCGGCACCCAACAAGCTGCCCGCGATGACGACGACCGAGGTTGTTCCATCACCAGCCTCAACATCCTGAGCGGCACTCAGATCAACCAGCATGCGCGCGGCGGGGTGCATGACGCTCATATCCTTCAGCATCGTGTTTCCATCGTTCGTCTGCGGAGGGGTGGAAGAGGGGTTAGCGGGCGAGTGTGTAGGGTCAGATTCGCGGAGTCCGTACGATGATAGTGTTGCCCTTTGGCGTTTGGATCTACTATCGCGTTAGTCTCAAGTCAATTGATAGGAGAGACGACCACCCTACCATCTTATCCATGCCTCTGGGTCCCAACGACTGTTTGGTGGGTTAGCCCCTCATTTGACCATGCCGTACATGGATACGCATACCGTTCTGATGGCATCGGCAACAGCTAAATCACATTAGTACAGTAACATGCAAGGATCATTGAGATACATACCCCTCGCAGCGAGAATATTCGAGGCGCGCACCGCCATGGGCTTCTCCTTATCCTGTCCGGCCATTAAAAACGGCCCACACGTTAATTCTCTCCGCCAAGAAACGCACCTTGAAGGAGTTATTTCCAGGGACACCCTGGGTGGCTGCGGTCGCCATGATGAAGATATGAAAATTGAACCTTGAAGAAACAAAAAAGAAGTAAAAGAAGAGAGGAAAAGGGGAATGGCAGAAGTGAGGAGATGACAATCGACAACCTGAGGGGGGAGAGAGAGCGGCACTTGGAATTTCATCGAAGTTCAATGTTCAGGCCGCAAGGCGGTGAGGCCAGCTGCAGCTGCTGACTGAGAGCGGCAACTCAAAGAAGCTCTCGACCACATCATCATATCATATCATACTCCCAGCTTCATCTTATCCCATCCATCGTCTTCTCTTATCTGCACGATACTCTTAGATCTCCGATTTTGCTTCTTATATTCTTGGTGCTCCGTTTGAACCCGTCTGTTTGACTGACTGTCATCAACTCTCACCATGCCTAGCGCCACGGGAGAGAACTGGGAGAAGTACAAGAAGACCTACGCCGATGACGAAGAACCCGAGAAGAAGATCGCACCATTGACAGATAGGTATGAGAACGATATGACAGAGATGGAGAACCTCCCGGTCATATGGTGTGGATAATACTAACCGGACTAGTGATATCCAAGTACTGAAAACATACGGCGCCGCGCCCTACGCCAACGCATTAAAGAAGCTGGAGAAACAGATCAAGGACAAACAATCGAGCGTCAATGAGAAGATCGGCGTGAAGGTATTTTTTGATTCGAAACCTCCGTGGGATGGTTGGATCTGACGGTTTAGGAATCCGATACCGGTCTCGCACCGCCACACCTTTGGGATGTCGCTGCGGACCGACAACGTATGGCGGAGGAGCAGCCGTTGCAGGTGGCTCGGTGCACAAAGATCATTCAAGATGAGAAGGACTCGGACAAGAGCAAATATGTGATCAACGTGAAGCAGATCGCCAAGTTCGTTGTCAATCTAGGGGAGCGCGTGAGTCCTACGGATATCGAGGAAGGGATGCGAGTTGGGTAAGTCTACTACATTATCCTATCCATGGATTTCCTCTCCCGTCTCTTTCAACGGCTGACCGGATTAGTGTCGACCGCAACAAGTACCAGATCATGCTCCCTCTCCCCCCCAAGATCGACCCGAGCGTGACGATGATGACGGTGGAGGACAAGCCTGACGTAACATACGGAGATGTTGGTGGTTGCAAAGATCAGATCGAGAAGCTGCGAGAAGTGGTCGAGATGCCACTGCTGTCCCCCGAGCGCTTCGTGAATCTCGGTATTGACCCGCCCAAGGGTGCGCTGTTGTACGGTCCTCCCGGTACCGGTAAGACGCTGTGTGCTCGAGCCGTCGCCAACCGAACAGACGCCACGTTCATCCGTGTCATCGGTAGCGAGTTGGTTCAGAAGTATGTCGGTGAAGGTGCCAGGATGGTCCGGGAGCTCTTCGAGATGGCACGGACCAAGAAGGCCTGCATCATCTTCTTCGACGAGATTGACGCGGTCGGTGGGGCTCGTTTCGACGATGGCGCCGGTGGTGACAACGAGGTGCAGCGAACGATGCTGGAACTGATCACCCAGCTGGATGGGTTCGACGCCCGTGGAAACATCAAGGTGATGTTTGCCACCAACCGACCGTCCATCTTGGATCCGGCCCTCATGCGTCCGGGTCGTATTGACCGTAAGATCGAGTTCTCCCTCCCCGACGTGGAGGGCCGTGCCAACATCCTCCGCATTCACGCCAAGAGCATGTCGGTGGAGCGGGACATCCGATGGGAGCTGATCTCTCGACTGTGCCCGAACTCCACGGGTGCGGAGCTCCGCAGTGTGGCCACAGAGGCCGGTATGTTTGCCATCCGGGCCCGCCGCAAGGTGGCCACGGAGAAGGACTTCCTGGCCGCGGTGGACAAGGTGATCAAGGGCAACCTGAAGTTCAACTCGACGGCGACGTACATGCAGTACAATTAATTTCCCTGGGGTTATGGCATAGCAGGGACATTGTACGACCAATCATATTTATTACATGACATTGGGGTTATCTACTCATGGAATATTGAGAAGTAATTGGTGATTCATTCGATGCGGAGTACTCCGTAGTTCGGTAGAGCTATGGTAGATCTTGGGTACGACTACTACTTTAAGGTAGTTGGTACATAAGAGTAGTCCGGAATCATGACGCCGTTTCTCCGATCCGCGGCATCGTCGGCTGCAACGGGGTCACATGACCACGTCACTTTATCGACCGACACCTTGTTCCCTGACCAGGACTACGTAGAATCAATATTAGATAGTAGTACCTAGAAGCTACCTCCTCGAGGCCAGTGCCCCTAAATACCCCACAAAAGACACACGACGCCTCAGGTGTCTGCCGTCTTGCTCCGAGACTTCGCGCACTCCGGGTTAAAAGGAACCCCGACCACGTGCCGGGGCCGCCCTGCACCAATCAGATCCCGCCGGCCGCCCGAGGTGCTTACCACTGCCCGGGATCTGATTGGCTGGCTCGGCCCCGGTCTTCCCCGTCGGCAGTATGCCGTGGATTATGTCAGCCAGACTCTGCTTCCAACAGAAACGTCGATCTGAAAGTGCTGCTTGCAAGCACCACCTCAGCCCTTCTTCTGCTGCCCTCCCCCCTCCCCCCCTCTCCACTCTGTGATATCTCCTTCTTGGAATCATTGGAAAAGTGTCTCCTCTTTTCTTCTGATTCGCAATCATGAGCTCCCTGAGCTTGCGGAGCCTGGCTCCCGCGCACAAGGTAGGCCGGCAATTCCCACGATCCTGCGATGCGCGTTTCTCCTGGAACTGCACTGACATATTATGCCTATAGATCTCCCGCGCCCTCCGGGATCAAAGACGTCTCTTCTCCTCGTCGCGTCCGGCTGGTATGCACTGTCTATTTCAATACGACCAGGTGACCGTGGTGCTAACTCAATTCCTCCGCCAGCCCGCATCTTCGGCAATGGACCCATGCGCGCCAAGGAGGCCAATGGCTACATCTCCGACAAGTACCCCGTGATTGTAAGCGATACCGCAGAGTGTCCCTCTGAAGGTACATGAGGTCTGATTTTGGCAGGATCACGAGTACGATGCCGTCGTTGTCGGTGCCGGTGGTGCCGGTCTGCGTGCCGCCTTCGGTCTTGCCGAGGCCGGCTTCAACACTGCCTGTGTCTCCAAGCTCTTCCCCACGAGAAGTCACACGGTCGCTGCTCAGGGTGGTATCAACGCTGCCCTTGGAAAGTAGGTTTACATTGCGGACTGGCAGCCTCTCAATGCTAACAATTCGCCCAATAGCATGCACCCCGACGACTGGAAGTGGCACATGTACGATACCGTCAAGGGCTCTGATTGGCTGGGTGACCAGGACGCCATCCACTACATGACCCGTGAAGCCCCCGCCAGTATCCGTGAGCTCGAGGGTTACGGATGCCCCTTCTCGCGTACCGAGGACGGTCTGATCTACCAGCGTGCCTTCGGTGGTCAGTCCAAGGACTTCGGCAAGGGTGGCCAGGCCTACCGTTGCTGCGCCGTCGCGGACCGAACCGGCCACGCGCTGCTGCACACCCTCTACGGCCAGTCGCTGCGCCACAACACCAACTACTTCATCGAATACTTCGCCCTCGATCTCCTGATGGAGGACGGTGAGTGCCGCGGTATCATCGCCTACAACCAGGAGGACGGCACCCTGCACCGCTTCAAGGCCCACCACACCGTCCTGGCCACCGGTGGCTACGGCCGTGCCTACTTCAGCTGCACGTCCGCCCACACCTGCACGGGTGACGGTATGGCCATGGTGGCCCGTGCCGGTCTCCCCAACCAGGATCTGGAGTTCGTCCAGTTCCACCCCACCGGTATCTACGGTGCCGGCTGCCTGATCACCGAGGGTGCCCGTGGTGAGGGTGGCTACCTGCTCAACTCCGAGGGTGAGCGTTTCATGGAGCGTTACGCCCCGACCGCCAAGGATCTGGCCTCGCGTGACGTCGTGTCGCGTTCGATGACCCTGGAGATCCGCGAGGGCCGCGGTGTCGGTCCCGAGAAGGACCACATCTACCTGCAGCTCAGCCACCTGCCCGCCGAGCTGCTGCACGAGCGTCTGCCCGGTATCTCCGAGACCGCCTCTATCTTCGCCGGTGTCGACGTCACCAAGCAGCCCATCCCCGTGCTGCCCACCGTCCACTACAACATGGGTGGTATCCCCACCAAGTTCACCGGCGAGGTCGTGACCGTCGACGAGCAGGGCCAGGACCAGGTCGTCCCCGGTCTGTACGCCTGCGGTGAGGCCGCGTGCGTGTCGGTGCACGGTGCCAACCGTCTGGGTGCCAACTCCCTGCTGGATCTGGTCGTCTTCGGTCGTGCCGTGTCTCACCGCGTCCGCGACATCGCCACCCCCGGCCAGCCCCATAAGGAGCTGAGCTCCGACGCGGGTGCGCAGTCGATCAAGGACCTGGACTTTGTCCGCAACGCCGACGGCCCCAAGTCGACCCACGAGATCCGCAACGCCATGCAGAAGTCCATGCAGACTGACGTGTCCGTCTTCCGCACGCAGGCCAGTCTGGACGAGGGTGTCGAGAAGGTGACCGAGGTCGACTCCTGGTTCGACCAGGTCGGCACCAAGGACCGCAGCATGATCTGGAACTCTGATCTGGTTGAGACTCTCGAGCTCCGCAACCTGCTGACTTGCGCGTATGTCCCCTTTCCCATCCTCTTTCCCCTTAGCCCTCTGATATATAACTAACGAATATAGTTCCCAAACCGCCATCGCCGCCGCCAACCGCAAGGAGTCCCGTGGCGCCCACGCGCGCGAAGACTTCCCCGAGCGTGACGACGAGAACTGGATGAAGCACACCTTGACGTGGCAGAAGGAGGCCCACGGCAAGGTGGACCTGAAGTACCGTGCGGTGGAGGCCAACACGCTGGACGAGGCGGAGTGCAAGCCGGTGCCGCCTTTCAAGCGTGTGTACTAAGCTAGCAGCACGATGGTCGGGTGGCATGAGGGCCTGAAAATTGGTGTTTATTTTCCTGTGTTTATATGTATATCCTTGACTCACTTTTTTTGATAGCCATACAATGGAGTTCGGTATATCTGATCGTATTGTAGTATTCATAGTAGTATATTAAATAATATCACCACAGTACGGAGTAAATCTGGGTGACGGAAAAGGCCACGAGCGTGCGTGGATTTTGGAGGGAGAATCGTGGTGTTTTCACCTGGTGCTCCTGACTCCGTAACTTTCCTAGTACATGCACCTACCCAAGGACAGTCCCAGCACGTAAGTCATACAACAAAGGTATAGACAAGTCTTGAATCATCCTTTCAAAAATATTCTCAAGTCTTTTTCGGGGATCTGATGATCTAGAAATAATTTGATTACCTCCCTCGCCATACAGCCCCCAAAGGTAAGCGTGATAGTACTAGTACCAAACCGCCACGAACATCCTCCCTCCACCAGACACCCCCCCAATCCAACCAAGCGAGTATCCCCAACCTCCAACTCTCACACCCCCAGCGACTCTCAAGAAACTGCACACTTCTTGCGTCAATGATGATATCCAATCAATCCGGGACATTCTCAACTTACGAAACTCTTCTTCATCGGAGGACTTCAGCATATGCGATTGCTACGCGATTATGATCGACGCCATCAACCGACACAAAGTCCAGTTCATCAGCGAACCTCTTGATCGCGGCTTGCCCATGGATCCACTCTATGCACTGGAAGCCGTCGAGGTACAAGGGAAGGATACTCTGGAAGTTTTCCTTGAGAAAGGTTGGGATATCAATCAGTCTGTTAGCGAGCTTAGACCTCCTGTACTTGGGTGAGTGAGACTCGTCCTAACAATATTGTTCTTGATCTTGTTATCAGGAATAAATAACATGGTAACATTATTCCATCACTCAGCTACGCTATCACAGACGAAGAAATAACAACATGGCTCCTCAACCACGGAGCCGATCCCAATCAACAATGCATAATAGACCTCACCCCACTCTCCCTCGCCGTCGAGAGCGCCTCGATATCAGTTATCCAGCTCATGTTCAGACATGGCGGAGATGTCCGAAAGGGCCAGCTCCTTCATCATGCAGTTGAACGGTGCTCAGATAATATCCCCGTCTTGAAACTTCTCATTGCAAATGGGGCAGATATTAATTCGACGATGTACGAGGGGCATTATTCTTCGAGAGCGCTATTCTGCTTCATGCCTCGCGGGACGGCGCTGCATAAGGCTGCTGGGTTTGGGAAAGTGGATGTAGTTCGTTATTTGGTTGATGAAGGTGTTGATCTGAGTATTAGGGATGCGAATGGGCGCACGGCGCTGGAGTATGCGCGGATGTTGGATCAGGGGGAAGTTGTGCGGGTGCTTGAGGGAGGTAGTTAGGCTGTCTTTTTTGCATTCAGGTGTTGTTCAAGATAACCAGATTCATATTCTTGGAGAAACTTTACATTTACTCAGAGTTGTCTAAACGCGGTGACTACACTTCCTTTCAAAACTCACAATACAAGTGAAAAACCTCAAAATAGCAAAACCCAATCCCAAGTCCAATAGGTAAGACAAGGTAAGATAGCTAAACCCGACACAACCTCCCATCGCTCTCCTCCACAACCCACGCCTCACTCCCCACACCAGTCGCAGCATACAAGACCCCCCGCGGATCATACTTATTCTTGATAGCCAGCAGACGGGGATAGTTACTCCCGTAGAAAACACTCTGCCAGTGTGGTTCGCGGAAGTTTGCTTCGTTGAGGTAGGCTGCGGCGGCGACAGGAGCCCCGGTGGAGGGGGAGACTAAGAGACGGTCGAGGGCGGGGAGAAATGTATGTGTTATGAGGGATTGGTGAGCGAGGTTGGTGGATTGGGATGTGTAGTTGAATGGTCTTCATCTTATTATTATCGTTGTTCCGTTCAAGAGCATAGGAGGCGGGGATGGAGAAACAAAGGACATACAAAGCAACAACAATATTAGCAGCAGCCGTTCTCCAAGCCGGGAGGACAGCATTTTCCACTTTCTTCCTACCGTTACTATCGTGATTATGCAAGGTAGCATTAACAGTGATGCCGGAAATGACGCCCCCCTGGCGAACAATATCCCACAGGGTATCTGTAAACGCAGAAGCATTGAACTCCACGACAGAACGCGGAATGAGTCGTCCGCCGATGTTGTACTCTGTTATATTGAGGGGAGGACTCATGGTGTTGAAGCTTTCGTGGTAGGTGGGGAAGTCGTTTATGTAGTATGCTTTGGGGGTTAGTTAGTTTGTATAGCAGTTAGAATGGTGTGATAGAAAGGGAAGGGCAAGAGATAAGAAAAGAGAGAAATACAGTATGAGACATTCTCCCTCTTCAGCGTCTCAACCACACCCCCCATCAATCGCCCCAACGACTCCTTATCTCCCGCCGGAAGCGTCACCGGCGTCACAGAGAACAACCCATCCGCCAACAACCAGACGACGACACAGCGCGCATCCAGCAAACACGGCAATGTCTTAACAAAAGCATCCACGCCACGACGGAAGCTCACTCCACCTCCCACGAATGACAGATTCGCAGATGCAGTTCGCAGCTCCGGGTGAGCCTTGACGGTCATAGAGACGACGATGGCATGAACGCCGCCTCCACCACCGCAGAGAGCCCAGTAGAGGTCTGCGTGAGGTCCCGTCGGCGCAGCCGTGACGAGCTGGCCGGTCTCGGGGAGGACAACCTCCCAGTGTAGGACCTGGTCAGCGGCGAGGCCGAAGGTGGACGTCAGCTGGCTGTGGCCGCCTCCTTGGGAGTATCCGCCTGCGAGGCCGGCTGTCACGGCATTGGCGCCGACGACGACGAGGTTATGGGAGTGAGCGGCTTCTGCGGCTGCGTAGACTTGGACGCCTGCTCCGACTGTGAGTGCCGGGCCGGTGTACTGGCCAGAGTGGTAGGTTTTATGCACGGTTATGTTGGACAGATGGTGAGTCCAGATAGCGAGGGCGCCTGCGCCAGTAGATTTACCTAGGTAGTCGTGGCCGGTATTGCGGATGACGAGGCGGATGTTGTGGGTGCGTGCGAAGGCGAGGGTTGCTTTGATAGTGGACGGGGAGGAGACGCGGACGGCGTAGGCGACGTAGGTGCCGAGGATGCAGCGGGAGGAGGCGGGGAGGAAGGGATCGCAGGACTGGTTGGCGAAGAAGGGGGCCATGATTGAGGAGGAGGTTTTGTAGTGAGTGCTGGGGAGGGGCCAGTTGTTGCGGATGGCGGCGCATTGGGCGGCGTTGTAGGGGGTGAAGGGGGAGTGGGAGTGGCAGGGACTGGCGAGGGGGATGGTGGCTATGAGGGCGCCGGCGATGGTATGGTTGAATTGGGACCATTGTTTGAGGGAGGGCCAGCAGGGGTCTTGGGGGAGGCAGTAACAGGATGAATTGGAGTTGGGGATGGGATTGGGAAGGATGGGGATAGAGTCGGGGATGGAGGAAGTTAGGGCTAGGATGGGGAGGGAGAGGAGAAGGAGCATTGTCATCGTGTATAGATATAAGTAAGCTTCAGATGTGAAAATAGAAAGAGATGGATATATGTATAGGTGTAGAGATAGGCCGATATAGTATAGATAGGGAATTGTCATGGACATAGGTAGAATTATGGGTTTAGGTATCAGTACAGATGTAGGTCGGATAGACGTAGATATACAAATATGGACCAGACAGATACATATGGAGATAATAATGCAGTCAGCGATGCAGTCCCACCCATATATCCCTACATCCTAAAAATAGAATATCATAATCCCATTGTCAACTAACCATGAAGCCATTCCCACCCCTATCGAATACATCACCAAGTCCACCATCCCACCGTGATAATCCCCTCCGCCTCAGCCTTGACCCCCTCGAACAACCCCCCAAGCACCCCGGCCAACTCTCCCGACAACGGTCCCTCCTCTCTAGCTTTCAAATACGTCTCGAGCTGTCCCACCGAGCCAGGCCCAACAGCAACCGCATCCCCACACTCCCCACGCAGCCCCGAATGAAACAACACCCACCGCATCGCAACGCAAGCCATCACCTGCTTCTCCCCTCCCCCATCCAACAATCCCTCAGCAGCAACCACCTCCCTCATTTTCCTAACCGCCTCATGAAACACCTCTCGATCATACCAAGCGCGGAACAATCCCCCAACCAGATTCCCCTCGCCTACCTCAAACCGCGTTCCCACTAGCTGCGCCGCCCCCGTCGCGAAGGTCAACTTCCCAGTGAGAAATCCCCCCGCGAGAGGCGAGTTCGCCACGAAGCGGATTCTGTGCTGGCGTAGCAAGGGGAAGAGACTCGTCTCGTAGCCCCGACACAGCAGGTTATACTGGCCTTGGTAGACGGTAGGGGCGATGAGGCTCTGAGACTGGGAAATAGCGAGCCACTCGGTGAGCTGGGCGGGAGAGTAGTTGCACAGCCCGAGAGAGGTGAATAGTCCCGCGCGGTAGAGGGCGTCGAAGTTGGCGGCTTGTTCGGCGATGGGGGTTGTGGGGTCTGGGGCGTGTGCGTAGAGTGTGTTGACCTTCATCTCTTCTTAGCTGGTTGATGTTATCAAGGTAGGATAGGGAGGGGGAGGAGGAAGAGACCTTAGACACACCCAACCTAGCTAGACTCCCCCGCAGCGACTGCTCCATCTTGTCGCGTTGGAGACCACCCGGCTGGAAAAGGATTTTGGTGTCGATGAGGATGTCGTCGCGCTTGATCTGGCCCAGCAGTGTCTCGGATTGACCTGGGTTGGTGGCGGGATACAGCGCGGCGGTGTCATAGTGGGTGATGCCGGCATCGTCAAGACGGGTGATCAACTGGGGGAGGGTCGTCTCCGTCCAGGAGGTGCCGAAGTTCTGGGTTCCGAGGATGTAGCTGGGAGACATGACTGTTATGATGGTTGATAGATGGATAGTTGTCGGTTGATGGTTGGTGGTTTACTTTGACCGTTGCCCGTTGACAGACATGAAATATCAAGATAAAGAGGGGTAAGAGTAGGAACAAAGATTACAAACGACGTGACACAACTATCTGAGACCGTCAATCAACGAGAAGAATATGATGCAATGCTACCTTGTCTTACAATATGGTCATCCTGGGTCGTACGTTTAGTATAGAGTGCATACTCGGCTCTCTGCATTTCACGAGCACAGGTAATCTACACGACTAAAAAGCACGCCAATCAAACCATCACTGCCCATCCCTCAGACCCTCCACAAACGCCTCCATCCGATCCACCAATCCCTCCGTCCAGCTTAGATGCGGCGAGTGACCCGCCGGCGCACGGTACATGGTGAACGTGCCCCCTGCCTGCGTCTGCAACTCCACCATCTTCTCTTGATACTCACAGGGTAGTGTGCGGTCGTTCTCCAGCACGAGATATGCACACGGCAGCGTTTTGTAAGGGTCGTTGGTGAGCGGAGTGGTCATTATCGGGGATGCCGTCAGCGTCGCCGTCCACTTCTGGGCATCGTCGGCGTCGAGATCGTTGAACAGAAAGCGCGGAGCATCTACTATCGTCCCTAGACCTTCAGGACCGTGTTTCTGCATGATCCCGTTTTAGTAATAGACAGACTCACCGAATAGAGGGGTTATGAGAATGAAGACATACATGAAACTCCATAAACGGCGGCGCGATGACCTCCCCACCCGCCGGCTGGAAGAAGCTATGCACCGACTCCCCAACCGGAATGACAAACGCTCCGATATAGAAGATGCCGATCACGCCGCCGGTCTGGCCCGCGGTAGCCTGCACCGCGGGGATGGCCGCCTGGCTGGCGACCCAGCCGCCGGAGGAGTGTCCGACGAGTAGCACGCGCTTACCGTCGCGGACCAGCTGTTTGACGAGATCGAGGACAACATTGACGTCTTCCGTGTCGCTGGGGTAGCCGGACTCCGGGGGCGGACGATCGAAGTCCGGGTGGTGGATATCGTTGCCGACGTTAAGGTTGGCGAGGTCGCAAGTGGGTCGCTGGGGGCAGTAGGCGTCGATACCGCGCGACTTGAGGGCGTGGATCAGTGGTTGATATGGGGCGGGAGAGTGGTACGAGCCGTGACAGATGACGATGGCGAGATTTTTGGACATTTTGTCTGATTGAATCATGGACATGTGGATTGACTTGGAGGGAGGAGTTGCAGTGGACAGAGAACCAGAGAGAGATGTGGAGGAGCGGGAAGAAGACAAAGAGGAGATGGAACCATGGATGCGGATGTCAGATCCGCTGATGAGGGGTCTTTAATCAGCCACATATTACTATCGGGATTACTATTGAATCATGCGTGACTACCATGGTTGGTTCATTTCTGGCAGTGGTCACTGGGGACTGTCGATGTCGATCTGGAATTAGCCCTAACTTCGACGCATCTCGACTCCTCCTGTCTTTCTTTATCCTTTCAGCCAGAAGTCTATTCTTTGCTTCTGTCTTTGTTCCTTTCTTCATTGCTTTATTATGTTGATTGCCCTTCCATTATATTCTTTGTTATCATGATGTGTCTATTATGTCATGATCTACTTTTGCTGCATTCTATTCCAACTCGTATACGGTTCGCTCCACATCTTCCGAGAGATCTCCGCATTGCTCAGATTATCACGCGGGGAAGTCACTTTCTGACCACCTATTCAATAACTCCATCCATCTCAAAATAACCGACCAAACAATCCCAGTCAAATCCCGGCATGAGAATTCTCCCCGAAACCCAGCACGGCAGGCTGGCGATCGACCAATGCTGATCGCGGCATAGCGAGAGGCATGCCGTGAAACCCTACCACGAGAACCCTGGACTGCACGCGAGACGATTTCTTCAAAAGCAGGCTCAGTCGATTCTCCCATATCATATTCATATCTCAACCGGTCTATCTTGGCCATTGGATTTCTCATCCATCTTCATACATTCGATCAACGATGTTTAGTACGCGCGGTATCGCCTTGATCATCTCGACGCTAGTCCTCCTAGCTATCAGCACATTATGCTTTTTCCTGCGAGTTGTGGCCATCTACATGCGAAAGCGAGGGTGGAGATCGCATGATTATTTTGCAGGATTGTCGCTGGTGAGTCAATCCCACCCATATAGTTCAATCATCAACTAACCTGTTAGTTCTGCCTCACGGGATACGTCTGCGATGCCATCGTCGGTATCGACAACCCACTATAACATCCCCCTAACCCTATACTAACCAATGAGTAGGAGTGGCCGCAGGTGGATACGGCGCCCACGTCCGCACCGTCCCCTACAACAAACTCGTCATCTCACTGAAAGTCTTCTTCGCCTCGGAATGGTTCTGGGCAACATCAGTGGCCTCCTTCCGTATCGCCATCCTACTCCTCTACGTGGACATTTTCCGCAAGCGCGTCTTCTTCTGGGCGGCTGTTAGCACGGGTCTACTAGTCGTGCTCTACTGGGTTGCCTCGATCCTCACCATCGCGCTCCTCTGCCGCCCCATCAACGTCAACTGGAACCGCACCACCACAGGCACCTGTGGCGATCTCCGCAAGACTGAGTTTGCCTCGGCGGGGTTCAACATGGGCATCGACCTGCTGGTGGTGCTCCTCCCAATGCCTGTCGTCTGGACATTGCAAATGTCCAGGGAGAAGAAGTTTGGCGTGACGGCTGCTTTCACCTTAGGAATGATGTACCTCTCCCCCTATATCTCCCCTATAATCCACATACCTATAAACAACAAGTTAACAAAAAACAGAACAGCAGCCGTCAACCTCGGCCGCCTCATCCAAACCAGCATCTGCTCCTCAGCGGACCTAACCTACTGCGCCATAGACAGCTCCATCCTCGTCACAGCCGAGATGTCATCAGGGATCCTAGTAGCATGCGTCCCCACCCTAGGGCCAATACTCTTCCGCACGCGGGCGCGAAACCTCGACCCGCAGCCCCGTCGCAAGATGCCCACCATCGGCTCGCTGCGAAACTGGTCGCGCCGTCACAGACAGTCTCCAGATACATTACTTGAGTCGCACGATAGCGAATACGATTGGGATCGGTCGAAGTCGCTTACAGCTGTCCATGAGGGCGCTAATACGGGGACTGGGTCCACGATGCATTCCGTGGAGGCGGGGGAGGGTCTTGCTCCTCCTGCGGCTGCTGTGTTGAGGGGCGAGGGGGTTGGGGTGAGGAATGAGTCGGGGGTGGAGAGGGGGGGTGGTGGGTATGGGGTTGTATGACTGTTGCATTGTGAGATACTGGATACTGTTATTTGTGTGGGTTGTATACTCTTGAGTTGTATACTCTTGGGTTGTATACTTATGGGTTGTGTACTTTATGGGCTATACTTGGTGGGTCATAAATTATGACACTATACTTGATGGACACGAAAAGCCCCATTTCCCATTCCCCGTAGCCCAACAACATCAGTAGACTCGGTAGCAGCACCAGGCTACAATCCAATGGGAACAGACGGACCCAATCTCAATATCAAAACAGTCGACTCGAACAAGACACTCGTCCTCCCACCCAAGCCAGATGACTACTATCTAATTGGACCAACTAACCCACCACCAGTCACACAGGTCCCACCACGACGACATCAAATCAAAGAACATAATAGATCGACGCACAATCACTGCACTGCATCTGCACCACCAACCAGGGTTCAACCAACCTGTCATCCGTTCGCACTGCACGTATCCGTCTTCTGACTGTCAGCTCATCTCGAGGTCTTGATTCGAGCATCTAGACTGCTGATGATGATGATAATGATGATGGTGATGCGGGTATGTATTGCGTCTGCATGTCATCCACTATCACATGTTCAATGGTAACACACCATGTCAGCATTGCAATATTCGAATCTGAAGAGGGGTAGACCGTCTACCAACGAGGTCTTTTGGGGCGGTTATCGTCCGAGGATCCCGGGGGAGCCCGAGGGAAGTTTAAGATGGTTGTTTTGATCTCGGTTGATATTATCTGGAGATATTTGTATAGAATATGGATTGAAACGATTGACGAATCGAATTGAGGAAATGGTTGATATCTATGGCCAAAATATGGCTCGTGATGAGGATGAAGCGAGACGGTATGTTTTCTTCCTTATACTTTTATCAAGTTCAGTTGAACTTGTTGTAGAAAAAGCTAACAACACCAGACTAGACGAGCAATTCGACCTCTTGACCGAGTATCCTCCTCCCCTTAGGTATCTACCTAGCCTACAACATAGTGAGTATACTAAGGTATACAGAAACATAGGCTACCTAATCCACCCAACCCTCACCCCCCACCTCCCCCCAAACGCACACATCGCAGACCTCGCAACAGGCACAGCCCTCTTCCTTCAACGCCTCGCAAGTACAAACCCAACCTACACCCTCCACGGAAGCGACATCTCACCAGCCCTCTTCCCTCCCGCCTCCACACTCCCTCAAAACATAACACTCACCACCCTCGACATCCGCCAACCTCCCCCAGCTCACCTTCTCCAGAAATACGATCTTGTCCACGTTCGACAGCTCTCAGCCGGCCTCGAAGCAAGCGACTGGCCCGCCGCAATCGCCCACGCCGCTGCGCTAGTACGACCAGGCGGGGCGCTGCAATGGGAAGAATGTGACTTCCTAAGCGTGCGGCACATGCGCGGGGGGGTGGAGAACAGTGTGGATGCTGCAGGGCACATGGGAGATGTGTTCAAAGATGCGTTGAGGGAGAGGTTTGCGCATGGGTGGAATTGTTTGGAGAGGGGGATGAGGGACGCCGGGTTAGTTGGGGTTCAGAGGGATGTTGTTTCTTCTGATAGGGTGGTTGGGACGAGGGAAGCGCTTACGAGGAATGGGTTGGGGGTAATTGAGGCTTGGATGAGGAGGGTTGTGGGGAGGGGGGGTGGGTTGGGGGTGGATGGGTTGAACGGGATAGAGGAAGTGGAGGAGTTGGCGAAGAGGGCGGAGGAGGATGTTAGGAGGGGATGTTATGTTCGGTTTGATGTGCATGTTGTTTGGGGGTGGGTTGGTAGGGATTAGATTAGATTGTTTACTGTTATTGGGGATGTTATACACTGGTTTTGTAGAGGGTAGGAGGAATAATAGGACTAGAGTAGAGAATAAGTCAAGGAGTATAGAACTACCTCCTCTCAAACACAATCCAACACTCTCCCGGCCGTGCTGTAAGCTGATCACGCATATCTCTCTCAACACACTCTCCACCCTCGGTCCCTGGCGCAAACCGTATCTTATATCGCGAGACCAGCGCCGCCGTGACGAGGCGAATCTGTGCCAGAGCGAGGTTCTTGCCGACGCAGCTAGTGTTGCCTACTTTATTAGTATTTCGTACCGCGAGGAAGAGAAGGGAAATAAAGTCGGGGGAAGAGAAGATACCCAATCCAAATGGCGCAAATGCCCGTCTGTCTTTGATCAGATCTGGTTGACTGTACCATCTTTCGGGGATGAAGTCGTGAGGTTGAGCGTAGGCAGAATCCACTATACATGTCAATGTCTATATTCCTGGTTTGATGAAGAAACAAGAGGAAAAGGAAGACGCACACCGTCCTACCGTATATCTCGGCGCGCAAATCTTAACACACCCTGGAATATACGTTCCCTCAACCCAAAGCCCTTCCGGCGGTGTGTCGCGCGTGCCAAATGTCAAGATAGCTGGTAAGAGACGCATGGTCTCGTTGATGACCCCGTTCAGATGCGGCAGCTTGGACAATGCCACTGGATCATGGTCATCGACGGTCCCGAGCTCTTGAGAGATTTGCTCTGCGTGGGAGGGGTATCGCGCGAGGAAGTAGAAGAGGTGGGTGAGGGTTGGAGCGGTGGTGTCGCTGTTATGAAAGAACTCAATATAATCCAGAAGGCAAGACAGGATAGGACATACCTCCCCGCCACAACCAGCGTAGCTGTATCCCCGCTCAGCCAGTTCTTTCTACTCCCGTCGTCACTGTGGCTCTCGTGGTCTTGGATAAACCACGACGCGATATCTCGATCTTCTAAAGTCCTCTTGCAGCCACGGATTAGCACAAACTCAATTCAAACCAGAAAAGAGAGATACCTTCATCCGCCTCTCCATACAAGCATCACAAAACTCCAACATCTCAAACCACAGCCTCAACCTCCACATCCCCGGCATAATCGAAAATCCCAACCGCGGAATCCAAATCGCCGGACTGAACGGACCCAACAGCGCCAGCGCAGACCGGAACAGGTAGATCACGCGGTGCCACTCTTGGTTCTTCAGCATGCCGAAGTCCTCGCTGAAGGCGAAGTCTCCCATCGAGTCGAAGGCAAACCAGTACATGATGTTGTTGATCAAGATGGGGTGTGTGTCTTGTTCTTCTACAAGTGCTGTTAGGGTTGATACTTTGGTGTGGATTCGTTGGTGGTATTGTCTTAGTGCTGTCCTTGCTTAGCTTCACAACCATGAATAGGAGGGTAAGGGTAGGAAAATACCTGCACTGCTCAAAGCGTGGTTCCATATCTGCCTCCGCTTCAGATGGAAAGCCCTGTCGCGCGTGAAGATGGACGAAATGCGCGGATACAGTAGGTCGTACCAGTCTGAACGGGTATTCTGGTTCCCTGTGCCGTCCATGGCCTCGTAGATGGCGGGGTGGAAGACGGTGATCTCGCTTGGTCCTGATTCTATTACTCTTCAAGCATTATGATACCGATCACGAAAAACATACCCGTTCGCACAAACGTTCCATACGTCTTGTGCCACTCGTCCACGACCAGATGGCCACGCGAGTCACGGCATTTCCACACATGCCATAACTTGGTCAGTGCTGCCAGTTTTGGGCCGGGGAAGTGGCGTAGTCGGTGGAAGAAAAGACGATAGATGGAGATGCTGAGGAAGAAAGAAGACAGATACAAGAAGACGAGTATCTCTGGACGGTCTCGCACCACGTACAGACACGTGGTTAGGGCTAAGTGTGTCACGATCACCGAGGCGCCTCTCAGATGCCATTCACCGTGGATGAACACGACCTGGTGGGCTAGAACCCCCGACAAGATGGCGACGATTTCTGCTGTCAGCATGGTGTTGATATCGGATAGAAGAATGAAACTGGGTTGGGTCAGACAGGAAATGCCCAGATATATGAGACATTCCCCGCTGACGGCGGCGAGAACCCGGTCAGGTAGTATTGCAGTTTCAACGGCAGGGATCAACCCCATGCATGTATGGCCCGTTGTCACTGCTCGGTCCGATGGCATCAACTTACTATGGGTACACGACAGAAACAGATACTGGTGAGATTGAAGCGATGTGGATGGTCATGTTAACCCATCCACTGTGCAGGTGGGTGTAGCTGTTTGGGTACGGACGTATATAAGATGGTTTCCCGCGATATCAACATCGGCATCATGTCCAACCTCAGACGACAACCCTGATAAGAAACATGAGTCTCCCCAAGGTACCTTCACCCGAGTCGCACGGATTTGATTTACAGTTCACAAATACAGAATTAGTCGAGCCTCCTCCGTCATGCTACCTATCCTTCGTCCCTCCAACTCATACCCACCATGATCACTATCCTCCACACCACCCTCCATACCCTCCTGTACTCCATCCACACCCTATACTTCTTCATCGCCAGCGACTTCAAAACTATCGTCATCCCCAGCACCATCTTCGGCCTCGCCAACTCCTTCGCCGCCCAACCTTACAACCTCCCACCCCCCCTAACCCCTGCACCCACCCGAGCCCTTAAAGCTCTAACCTGGACACTCCTCACCCTCATCCCCTTCGCCATAAGCAACCAGCTCAGCCCCTCCGCCATCGCCGAAGACACCCTCAACAAACCGTGGCGACCTCTTCCTCAAAACCGTCTCACCCGCACGCAAGCCAAAACCACCATGCTCACCTTCTACGCTCTATCCCAAATCCACGCCCTCCTCACCCGCACCGGCCACCGCCAATCCCTCGCCATGATCCCCCTTGGAACCTACTACAACCATTTCGGCGGCGCAGACCATCACCCTCTTACCCGCAACCTCACCAATGCCGCCGGCTACCTCTGCTTCACCACCGGCGCCATGGAAGTCGCCCTCGGCTGCCCCCTGCCACTCACCCACCTCCCCCCGCGTCTCGCTGCCTGGCTCCTCCTTCTAGCCGCTGTCGTGTCCTCCACGGTCCACCTCCAGGATCTCTACGATCAGGATGGGGACCGTCTGCGCGCCCGTCGTACCCTTCCGCTTGTCATCGGCGACTCCGCCGCCCGCTGGGCTGCCGCCTTACCCATGCTGCTCTGGGGCGTCGTGTGTCCGGCTTTCTGGCGGGTGGACCCCCGGTTGACGATTGTGTGTGTGGGTTTGGCGTGGACCGTGGCGGCGAGGGTCTTGCTGGTGAGGAGCGTGTCCGGGGATCGGGTTACGTTTCGGTGTTGGAATTGTTGGGTGGTGCTGGTTTATTTGTTGCCAGTTTGGAGGGGTAGATGATGGGGATTCTGTGAGTTATTAAACTTAATCTTATTTTGAAGCTTTATTATATTTTAGGTTATTATAAACGATTCAAGTGATTATTTGATGTAATTTAATGATTGGCTAGAAGTATGATCCCACATGCTATCATTGGAAGTATGTAAAAATAAGATTAACCTGCACTAGCTTTACTATCATTACGTGGCACTATGTATGGAAGAGACGGTTGCCATAACTGATCTAATACATTAACCATAACTATCGTCAACATTCGCGCCCGATGATTGGAAAGTTCATGACGATGCAAAAAGATTAAACGCTAGTGAGGGGCTGTGATGTTGTGAAAACAACCGATCAACATCAAGTTGGGTTAGATCCTGCATTTGTTCTCCACCAACATGGGGAACAAGGCTGTGAGCTCTCGGAAGGCTGTGCTTGCAGCTCTATCGGTTTGCAATTCAGGGTGAAATGGACTTGGTCCAGGGCTTGTTCCACTTCATAAATGTCATGACTGCCAGATACCTCCCCTGGCTTATTCCTTTCGAATGAGTCGAGGACCGATGAAATGAAGTTCCATCGCAAAAGGTTGGTAATCAGCTCTCTTGAGGCGAGTGACGCGCTATATCTAACTATTGAACATAAAAGATCATCTGATCTCGAGGATGAGGACTCCCACAGCTCGATTGTACACGATTCGGTAGCGAGCCCCGGATCGTGTCTTTCTAGGATATTGCCACGCCGCATCCAGCGCAAATTCAAAAAGCTCCAAGACAGCCAGCGAGAATGGGCTACAGGAGTGTTGCTCTGTGCCTATGGTACCTCCATCATACTGTTCATAAATGTAGTCTTGACGATTACTGCTGCCAGCATGTCATATTCTAAATATCAAAGCCAGGGGTACAATTACTTGGCCCTGTATCAAGGGAATTGTTCCACTTCGAAAAACTTGGCCCGTGGTATGCACGGGCTGATTAACGTGCTTAGCACGCTCATGCTGGCGGCGAGTAACTACTGCATGCAATGCTTGAGTGCCCCATCTCGTCAGAGCATCGATGAAGCGCATGCCCAACGGAAGTGGATGCATATCGGGGTCCCCAGTTTGAAGAATCTCCGATCAATTGGCCTAAAAAGTCAAATATTATGGACATTGCTATGCATTACTTCTGTGCCGATCCATGCAATGTTAGCGTGACAAGTTCCTCTGTTTTTCGAAAATGACCTCTAACCAAGAGACAGATACAACTCCACTGTGTTTTCTACACTTGCTACCCGTGAATATGGCATTTACGTTGCGTCTTCTGATTTCGATCCAAATGGTCCGCCAAAAGGAAATTTGGCTTATCCAAACTGTTTCGATGAACACGCAGCTGAGAATATGTCGGATTTCTACTCAAAGATACCGACATTCGACAAACTTCCTATATCCAAGTGTCAAGATGCCTATGCGGTTGACTTCAATCCAAACCGGGGAACCGTGATCCTTGTGACCAACAGCCCGAAAGCGGGAAACACATCACTACTCTACACAGGAACGGGGAATTGGCCAGACCGGGTTGGTGATCCCAAAAACTGGGGCTATAGTTGGATGTGTAGTGGTAGTGATTGCTCCAGGGAAATGCTGGAAGAGAACACAAAGTCCGCCCATGGGAAATGGTCTATATCCGCAGAAGTATGCCCGATGCCAGTGATTTCAGCAACCGTCTTTTCCGAGACAACATATACCCTCAATAGCACAACCCTCAAGGATGTTCCAGACATTCAGGTGTCCAGTGACGAACTCAGAGATATCAGACGACTCAAGCGTCGTATGTGGGAACAACCTCCGTATGAAGAGCTACATCGGTTTCTTCATGATCCCAGAGGTTGGGAAAACAGCTCCTGGGCTGAGGCCATCAAAATAGAGGAATTGGATAATCTCTGCCCCTCTTACAGTTTGTCAGGCTCGTCACTTAGCTCCTCGACCGGTATCAGCCCAAGCTGGCCAATGCAGCTAGACTACTCGCCAACAAGTCGGGTCGTCGAATCCACTGTCAGCCACTGTTTGAGTGAAAAGGTGGACGAGAAATGTCAGTTTCTTTTTAGCCTACCTCTCTGCCTCGCAGTCATACTGTGCAATAGTATCAAAGTGTTGGCGATGTTCTTGACAGCCCATGGTAGTAGGAGGGAAGTACTCCTTACCATTGGGGATGCTATGTCATCATTTCTCTCTAATCCTGATAAAACCACTGTGGGAAATTGTTTGTTGTCAAAATCGAGCATTCAAGCTTCAGAGTCATGGAAGCCGTCATCTGTCAGTGCTCACATTCTACAAAAAGGACGCCAAGCCACCCTTCCCAAGAGACAGAGATGGGTATACTCCGTGAGCCGCAGAGATTGGATACTTCTCATCATTATGTTGGTACTCCACAACTCCCTAGAACAGAACCGGTATACATATTCTGACTTTGACAGAATTACACTTGTTTTCTCGCTTTCTGGTTACCTTCTTGCTTCAACTATTATTGGACTAAGTGATTCCAACAAGGATTCCCTTCGGGGAATTTGGAACCTAGGTTTCGGTACTGTCTCGCCGTCTGCCATAATGAGAACCAACAGCTACAGTACCTACTATCGATTTCTACCGACGGTTTTGCTCGCAAACGCCCCTCAGATAATCGTCTCAATGGCTTATTTCCTCTACAACAGTACACTAACGTCTATGCTTATTGCTACCGAGTATGACGGCTATGGCACGGACCGAAAGCCATTACGCGTCTCCTGGCCCAAGGGACTACAGCGTTCGACCTACTACCTCAGTCTTCCTTACAGATACAGCATTTGTCTCCTGAGTGCCTCTGCAGCACTGCATTGGCTGATCTCTCAAAGCTTGTTTTTTGTGGCAATCATCCCACATTCCATAGACGGGACGCCCACACCGAACTCTGAAAGAGTGACATGCGGATTTTCTCCGCTTTCGATCATCTTCGCTATGTCTCTAGGCGTCCTGATGGTTGGTGCAATCCTGGCCCTAGGAATGAGACGATTCAAGTCCAACATCCCTCTTGCCGGCAGCTGCAGCGCTGCAATCAGCGCTGCATGTCATCCTCTGTCCGATGACGAGCATGCACTGAGACCCATTATGTGGGGAGAGGTCCAAATACCACGAGCCGAGCCTGCGAGCCTTCCCCTCGGCACAAATGAGGAGACAGGCACCTCGGAGTCTGAACTAGACGCAAGAGGCCGTGAGGCTCGCAGAGACCAGTCGATCCAAGAAAGCGGCGTGAGCCTGTTAGTCAGGGATGATATGTCTGATGACAGTGGGGCGTCCTACGGACACTGCAGTTTTACTTCCCACGAGGTCATCACTCCCAGTCCGCTGCGTCGGTATGCATGAACTATCTGGATTTGACTCGTCGGTTCTTCCATGCTGTCAGTCTCCGTTCATTGTTATCATCAATCCTTGCCATGAAGCAGGCTGCGTGGCAGATGGGTAACATATTTCTCAACAATATACTAAATATACACATGTATCAAATGATAATTCCTCAAAAGATTACCTAGACACCTCATTTCCATACCTAAGTCACAGCTTCAACTGTGGGCGCTACTGGCTTGAACATCTGCAACTTGGGGTGAAACATATATATTCTCAGCATGTCTAGGAAAAGTAGATTAACTCTATACTAATATCATTCTATGAGTATGAAACTTCAAAATTCCTAAGTTCCATCAAGTCTATCAGGCTTACGTTCTACTATCTTGTCACCCACTACATCTATAGATAGACACGCCATAAGTCTTCTGAATAGCGCAGCATAACATTGATCCAACTACCATCTAAGGGGAAGCAAAACACAAGTCTATGTAACCAACCAACGCCAAAACTCCAATAATAGATTATAATAGTAGTAACTGTGACACAATACCTATCAAGAAAGAAAAGAACCATGCAAACGTGCCCAAAACAAATAAAATTATAACAACATCATCATTAACAATAATATAATGAAAATGAGAATGAAAACCTCCCCCTGTCCCTCCCCCGAACACGACCACCCACCCGACCCACCTATAATTCCCCCTTTTATGTAAAGGATCCCCCAAACCCAAACCACCACAGTGGTACGACAATCAATACCCTTCCCGTTTGATTTGACATAATGAGGCTGAGGGCCGACCCAGCCCGCCGGGTCTGTCCATCTTTTCCTCCTCCTGTCAGTGCCAGTGTCAGTGTCACACGGAGATATATTCCCTCCCCCCACCGGACGGACGGACGGGGCGACACCACCTTCCTACAATGGTAATGTAGACTATTTAGCAAAGCGCTATACGCATAGTGTTGACCCAGAATGGGGCCAGCAGCCAATGGGTGTAGCTTGCGCGCCCCCAGAACCAGAGTGTCGGGACGCAGGATGGTGCTGAAATCACGGGCCTACTTACCTTGTCTCTGTATGACTATGGAGTAGGTGGTGCTAGTGCTCTATACGGGGTAGGTATGAAGCTGACGGGAGACTCGGGTCGATCCATTTTTGGCACTTCGTTATTGCCGGTTTTCTACTACCTTGAGATGTTGGTAGCTATCCTACTCTACTGTGTAGGGAACTTCGTAGGCAGTTATACGAGGTAACTGCCTCCCTTCCCAGATACTAATAAGTAGTGCCGTCACTAGCAGACTAGCCAGCCACATGTACAACAACAACCATCACCCAATTAACTCAAGTAAGCCATGTGTAAGTATGGTCTGCAGGTACGGTTCCTTTCCCCTGGGCCTGGGTCTAGCCCATACAATAGAAATACAAATAATAAAACTCTACTTCGTAACTCCGAACGAGGCCTGAAAATCCCCCATCCTTTCCTCAGGGGGAGGGAGACAAGAAACAACCTAAGAAAGGAGAAAGGAGCACTAGCAGCCCCGTGCTGTGGGTCATACACAAACCGATACGGACACCAGGTACGGGTACCTGAGTAGATACATAGACAGACACCCAGTTAGGTTAGAGTCAGTATGTCAGTAGTAAGTAGCCAGGTGGCAGGTGAATCACCGAGCAAACCCTCAAGCTAATCATTTAGGTAGTGTCAAGTTGTGTCATCGATCGGCCCGTCCGTGTCTGTGTCCTAGTTTCCTAGGGACTAAACTAAAATAATATAACACCCGTCGTATCAAAGCTGTTTAGCTCGTTCCTAACTGTATAGGGTTAGAGGATGTTAAAATAGGAGTTGGATGGGCTGGCTGGGGTTATTTGTCATGATCCCCAGCTTAAGTTGGTTAACTTTTGACTATTGTTTAATATAATCTCTATATTGAATACGATGATCTTATTAAGATCAATATATATACTCTTTATGTAAATCATCTATCAGGATAGATTAAATCCAATAGTAGATAGTGATCCATGCATTTAATCTACGAGGCTGATCCTGCTGTCTATTCTCATCCATGATTCAAGATTTGGGACCCCACTGTAGGCAGGTACCATGCAAGCATACCCATCATCCCCATGATAGAAGGGTCAAATGACATCAACCCTTATTAAAATCTATATCTTATACGAGAACGAAGGTGTGGCGGTGCAACTATGGAGCTTCCATCTGTTGGGGTCGGAGAGTTTCCCGTCGGCTTTTCCGTCTGGTTGGGATTTCTCCGGTTGTTTTTCTTTTTCTGCTTTCGTATATCGCACTGTATACTTCTACTTTATCTATAAACTGTCTATCTGATAAGGGTGTTACTCTTCGGGTCAGTTCATTATTCATCTTCAAATCCATTCATATAATTGTCATATATAATTCCAAGTATCAATAAATATATTTCCATGTGGTTATGATGTATATCTTTCAAGGAACGTAAGGATTGTGGATGCGCTAACACCCGGCTCTGACACCTGCCAAAGCCAAAACCACTAACAAAAGAAACTAATAACGAATGACAAATGATCGTCCATGCGTGAATCATCAGGGATAATGAAAAAAGCAAACAAAATGAAAAACAGAAAGGGAGGTCCCAAGACATAGGAAAAAAAGGAAAATAAAAGAAAATAAAAAAGAAAAGAAAAGAAAAAATAGAAGAAGAAATGGAAAGGAAAGATGAAAGGGATCACCACGGACTGCGTGTCCCCACCATCCAATCCTCCATGGCTAACCACTCACTCCACCGCGACTCAGCCGTCTGTAGTTCCTCCTCCGTCACGTCGCGGATCGGTCGGAGGAACGGGACCTGCTCGTCGCCCTCGCCGTCGTACGCCGCCTTGGTGGAGGCCCAGCCGCCGCTCTTGGCCGTGAAGAGGTAGTTGATGCGCTCCTGCTGCCAGAGCCGCCCGACGCCGCCGTGCCAGTCGGGCCCGAACAGCATCTGCAGCACGTCGGGGATGTCATGCGCCGTGGCGATCAGGCGACGCACGTAGGGGCGCAGGCCGACGAAGCTTTGCGACGCGGCGGGACGCTGGCAGGGCAGTCGGAAGTTGAGGTAGGCGGCGAGGGCGTGCGCGCCGGGCGCATGCTGCCCGTGCTCGAGGAAGTACTGCGTGCTGGCTGTGTATCGCGCGTGCCAGTCGGGCAGGTTGACCTGCGAGACATCGGGGATGGCGCTGGACGGGGATGCGGCCATTTCGTCGGCGGCTGGGCTTGCGGGCCAGTGCGCTGGGTGTTCGGCGGTGCCCACGGTCACAGGGGACAGAGGCGCGTTGTCGCGTCGGCCGGAGCTGAGTTCAGACTCGAGAGTTGGGTCTGTAGCTTCTATGCGGAGAGAGTGTGTTAGATATGGGTATGCTCTAGGAGAGGATGGGGTAGTGGAGAAGGCAACTTACTGGTGGGGTAGAAGGTGGAAGAGGGATCGTGTGCGTCTGGAGAAGGAGCAGCCCAGCAGTCTCTTCCAGAAGATTGAAAGTTGAAAGTCATTGTTGGCTTGAACATGTGCCGGATGGTATGCGACGGCTGGAAGGTGGAGGGATGAATGGAAGATGGGTGGAAGAATGTTCAATGCTGATCCAGACAAAGACAGATTGAATCAAGTGAAGGAAATCGATCGGTCCTTATACTCCAGTCGATCCCCCCTTCGCAGATATACGAAAGGGAGACAGACGGCCAGCCCGAACGACATACTACTAGTCGGTGTAAATCCAAAAGCGCCATGGAGGAAAGACCAAGAAGCGGATCATGAATGGGTTTGAGCGCGGTTCCATATGTTGTAGGGTATCAAAGAACAGGGGTGGGGTGGAGCTATGGGGCCGAAAGGGAAAAAAGTAAATAAAACTCGAAAATTAAGGATAGAAATGCCGATCGGTCGGATTGCACCGCAGAAGAACTGAGGCTATTCCAAGTCCATCGAGTCTATTGACGAATGGGTTCAAGCCACAGATGAGCAACCAGCCACAGGGGGAAGGGGGTCAAGCCACGGACTTGACCGGATGTGGGGCGGATCGTGGCTGTGCGCTGCGGCGTGGCCTGCACACCTCAAGGCTAAGGCAGGCAGGGACACCTGATCCACTCCCCCTTTCGATGAACTCATTTGGACGAACGAACTGGATGAGCTGGACAACCAGTCAACCACCCAACAAATCAGACCCGATCTTGGTTGCGGTTCCGGCAACCTGGACGACCGGTTGGCACTAAACGTGAAGGGGAAAGGAGGGTGAAAAAAGATTTGGAAGAACTGGAGCCACTAGCGATATGATCTTCGCTAGCCATCCTCCCACCACTTCAGCCAGCCATGCATCACTTTTTCTTAATTTTTTTTTTTTTTTTTTTTTTTTCCCTTCCATGTGTCCGTTCCAAAGAACTGTCCTGAGTCCAGCCATGACTCCTCCTGTCTAGTGGATGCTCCGTGACACCCGTCCAGCTCTTCCAGCTCTAAGGCTCAACGGAGACCGGCCTTCAATAGTCAGGGAACGGCGCCAAATCACCCCCACCCTCAACGAAATGTCTGTCGTAGGAGTAATGTGACAGCTCGTCGGGCGTGTGTCTCCCCACAGCGTCATCGTGATGACTGGACAGTGTGCGTCATTGTCACACCTTGGACATGACAACTGAATCATTCTCTTGGGAAAAACGAGAGGACGGCATGTATGCAGTCCGGTCGCATGCCGGGTCGTCGTTGCTCAGCATATGTATAGACACGGATTCTCGCCTGCAAGATGGGATAACGTGGTCAAGGAGGCTGCAACATGACGCTGTTCTTGTCCCAGCGATGCAAGGGGTGGATCGAGGGTGAAAATCCTAGCAAGGGTCGGCCAGCGTCGATCGGATGAGTGATGCCTGATTAATCACGATGGACTTTACAAATCTTCAATAACTTGTCTAATATTATTACTATTATTATTATAAGAATACATCATTATTCACATCATCAACTACTCTGTAGAACCTGATCATCAGTGTTGTGTCGCTCTTCTCCGACGCTTTTCCGAACTATCGGATTAGGGCTGGGCAGGTTAGCGTGCCTGAAGCCAGTGGCGTCGACCGAGTCTGACCGATCTGATTTTAATTTCTTTCCTCCAAGAGACTTAAGTTAGTACAGAGTAGTGTCCTAAACTTGCCCTAATCCTGGCCAAATTCTTGCAGTCTTAGCGCGGGACTCCGTTGATCGACCTACACATCTCCCTTCCAGCCATAGTGCAGCCTCCCCTTCCCGTAATATTCAATATATCATGGTCTCCTACACCTCCTCCCCGTCTCACCCTAACCCCATCCTGAATCCTGGGCCCTGAACTCGCAATGTCTCACTGCCACGCTAGGATATCCATCATCCACGCGAGATGGGTCTGTCAATCCTGTCAATCCAAATCACGACAGAGGGCTAGTGATGCCTTGGGCTTAGATCGCGATCGATCGATCCTTGTACCCAGCTGACTGGGATTGTAGATTCCACTAGAAGTTAGCAAAGCTGGAAAAATAAATCAAATTCTAAAAATGAAACCTGAAATCGACCAATCCAATAGAGTGATTAAGGGTGTTCCCACCGCCATGCGCTGAACGACTCCATCTCCACTCTTGTCGGACGGAGTGGCTGGCGTTAACACCGTGCTGTCGGTATCTTCCTATATAACCTCCTGGGATTCCCATTGTCCTTGAATTATAGATCAAATCAGATCAACAAACTCAAAATCTTCATCTCTATATCTACCTCTAAGTCACCTCTACTCTAACTTTACCACTACTCTACTCGACTCTACCACTACTCTCGACTCTATTTCAACATGACCTACAAAACCAACTACGAACCATACGTAAGTCCTTCTACACCATCAACCAGAACAACCACTTACAAAACCAGACCACCCGTCCCTTGGATACAAACATGAGCATCAACACGAGCTTCGACACAGACTCCGAAATGGAACGCACCTCCGAAGAAATCCTCTACCCACTGGGCTCTCTCTACCCTCACGTCGTCGCCCTCCAACTCCAAGCCGACGAGAACCCCTGGTCCCGATCCAAGATCTACGCGGGCTACCACGATTCCAACTACTGGTCGGACATATCAGTGCCGAACTCCCCTTCATCGGAACATTTTAACAAACCTAGCGGTGAGTCTCTATCCTTTTTTTTTTCTCTGTTGCAATGCAGATCAACCCCACAATATACACACCTATCACATTTGCTAACGCGACTGCGGACAGACTCCACAGCTGGCCGGTTCGTTTCCAGAATTCGACGATTCCTCAGCCGCGACGATCTGAAACGACGCCAGCGGTCTTGATCTTTTGACCCTTGACTGAGACTTGGTCTTTCGGATATGTCTCTTGACTGTATCATTTTTTTCTCTGCCTTCTTCCTTTGGTTGTTTGACCACTTCACTCCAATGTTTAATGTCTAAGCCCGCCACACGCGAACAATACCCCTGTTCTGTCGAGATCTCTTTTCGTTTGTCTTTTCGTCTGACTCTGTCTGCAACGCATCTTGCAAGCCTTCTCTCTTTGAGCCTTTCTTTTTGTCTTCTTTCATTTCTGTCTGTCTGTTTTGGGTTAGCGAGGAGTCATCATCATCATCATCATCATCATCATCATCATCATCATCATCATCATTCAAGCATCGGCGAACGAGCATCCTGGACATTTATCTCGGTTGATTTTACATATCTGCATGGTTGGTTAGATTGGACTAGCATATCATATACCATATCCTGAATGGAACATTACTACTACATCACTGAAACCAACATCTAAGTAAATACAATAAAATAGTAACCACGATATAGTAAACTCTCGGCCCCAACCCAATCGATCATCACCCTATCTGATAATCTCCTCATCATCTAAACTTTCCCACCTTACAACCCACCTCCCAATTACCCAAAGTAAGCAAGGAAAATGATCCAGCCATCCCAAGCCATCCAAACCAAACCCTAAAATTACTCTAAACCCAATAACCCAACCGCACCACCCGCCAACAAAACACATCACCCTCCCAACCTGCAAAACCCCTGCACAACATGACTCCTCACACTCCACTCCCCCCCACATTATTCCACAAGGAACACAGCACCCCCTTCATTCCTCCCATTCAAGAAAACACCACAGGACACCTCATACGAACCGGCCCGGTCCTTACTCACACCGCCCTTGTACCTGACTTGATTCGGTCCCGTTCAATCGGAGCTATATACTAGACTCTATGTAGAGCGCGGGTACTGCCGTCTTGCTTCTCACGACCTAGTTTGCGGCCGCACGCAGATGGGGTGTCATATGCGAGTGATGGGGGTGGGGGGGAAGGTTGTTGGCGGCGCGTGGCTCGGGTTTGCGTGCTGAGTGTCTCTGTCTGTCTATCTGGCTGGTTGTTTGTCTTTCAGGGGTTGGTTGAACCTGCGTGTGTGGTGTCATATGATACGTTTTGGCTCGCTGGGCTGAAATGGAGCGGGTAGCGCGTGAGGTTATTTTTTTTTTGTTGTTTGGCTTGATATCGGACTGGCTTGGGATGCGGTGTTTGTTTGGGGTGGGTTTGGTTGTGGATAGTTGAGGACTGGGGGTTGTCTGCGTGTACGGCGTTATGCTACTACTCTCCTACTATTTATGGACTTGAGTTTGCGTTGGTAGCTATATAGGTACTTGGTACACTCCATAGTTCAATATTTGGTCATTCCTTAGTAGTAGACAGTAGTACAGTATATAGCATAGTATCTACCTATGTAGGGTACCTAAGGTGATGTGGTATACAAACACAAACCCACATCATCCAGAAAAATTAACACCCACCTGCCAAGAATAAGAATCGAAAGAAACCAGCACGACCTCACCCTGCAGGATACCAATCATCGATCATCACGACCGTGGCACCGTGGTCACCGCCTATCCAGAGTCCACGAACCGGTTTGCATTGAAACTCAAACTCAATCTAGGAATTGATCACCTACTTACTATATTGATATTGATCGCTATATCACATCCACCTAGTCCATAGACAGTAGGCACTATATCATACATATCATATCATATGCAGGCACACAAGACACGCATCGCTAGATAGACACACGTACACCCCACGCACCCCACAAATACCGCAGGAGCTAGGAGGGAGGTGGCAGGGTGGGGTGGGGTAGGAGAGACAGACAGTCGATCACGATGGACATTAGTAAATATTAGCCGGCCAAGCATCGTGCATGCTTGCTTCTTCAGAATATCACTGTCTACTAGTAGTATACACTCGGTTAGCTAGTCGGGATTCATATTCAGATATCACTTCTCGGCTCTGCATGCGCATGTCGGTCGTGCTGCAGGGTGGGTTGATCAGGGGAGTTGAGCTGGCTGGGGTGCATGGTGGGGTTTGCTTTTTCTTACATTCATTCTTTCTTTTCTTTTTTTTGGGGGGGGGGGTTATTGATTTGTTTGTTTTTGGTCATGGTATTGTAGAGTAGATGGGTGGATCACTCGGGGAGTGCGGTGCTTGGTGAAGGCATAGTAGTACTAGGTAGTAGGTAGTAGGTAATAGGTAGTAGGTAGTAGGTAGTAGGTAGAGGTGTAGATAGTAGGTAGTAGGTAGTAGGTAGGCGAGTAGATATCATGAAAGCGTGTGGGTGGTAGATGAATGGATGGATGGATGAATCTCCAATTTGGCGTATCGTGCAATAACCACATCAAGCGTACATTCTAGATAGAGGAATGCAATCCGGTTATCCTACGGATGGATATCATTTTCTGTATAAACGAGTAGCCATATTATCAATATATCGTCAATAGTCAGTCAATATGTGTAAGATTAGAATACTGAGGCTCAAATAGTGAACAATAACATTCCTCATGCTAACTACATGAAATCAGATCAGACTGAACTGTGTACAGTGCGGGGTTGAAACAAGATGGGTATAGAATCCAAGAATCGCATGTCACCGACCGTGCAAGGGGAAACAAATAAAAGAAAGGAAGAAAAAGGGAGGAAGAGAGAAAACAAAACCTAACTCCATCAGCTCATCAGGAACTTTTCCCGCGTTCCATATCCCAGCATTTCAAATCCGTAGGAAAGTGTCAAGGAGTGAAGCACCGTGATCATATACCATAACCCATAAACATAAACCATAACCATGAACGTCGTAGGAATGACGGTTTTGAAAGGTCAGATAGTCATATCCTGCCAACCTGAACTAGCAGATGTAATTCCATCAACCAGCTCTTATGCAAGAATCCCAGAGCCAGACGTTCCCGACCCCCATCGGAACTGCTTCAGTCCACCCCGGACGGCTTCCTGCCCGCAAGCAGCTGACGTCCTGCCGCTCGCGAGGCTGCCGTCCCCCATGACAGACCCAACCCCCGTGACCTCCATCCTCCCCACCTCGCGACCCAGCACGTAGCCGGCTGAAAAGCTAATGGCGGAGAAGAGCACCACGACCCCGGCGCTGATCACCCAGGTCATGATGGTGGGGCTGTTTGTAGGCTCGCTCGGGGTCGTCCGGCGGCCCTTCTTGATGGAGGCACGGTCTTTCGAGGCGGAAGACCGGCGTTTCCCTTTAGTAGAGCTCGGTGCCACGGGCTGTGCTTGAGGGACGGACCGCGGAGCCTGGGCGGAACCTGGGGTTTCGGGGCCGGACGGGGTCTCCTGTGGCACGACTTCCTCGCCCATCGCGACCGACTCCGATACCATCCGGAAGGATGACGGTTGGCCTCGACTGCTTGGACCGGTTGGTGTGGGCTGCGTCTCCGGCTTGGGCAGGCCTCGAGCGGCGGCGGCACACGAGAGTAAGGTGGACAGGCTGGCGCGAAGAGCGGCATCGTGGTCGGCCTGATAGGACGGCGAGATCATATTGTAGGGACTGTGTTGTTGCGACCGGCGTCGGGCGGATTGGCTGCTGGTCTGGGAGTTCCGCCGGATCGCCGTCCGTCGACTGCAGTTCGATACATCGCTAGGCTGCGAACGGTGCCGGTCTACAGGCCGTGTCCAGGATGGGTCCCGGGTTGCAGGGGGATGCGAGAAGACATTGGGTTGGGGCACAAACGGCGAAGAGCTGATGCGCATTCCGAGGGCGGTCGAGTTGTCATCCTCATCGCTGGACGGACCGGCGTCATCGGATGGCGATGAAGACGGCACCGATCGCGGCTGAGATGGAACGGCAAGAGACCGACGGGGCATCTCTTCGTTGGAACTGCTGAGGACCCGGTCTGACTCGCTCTCGCTTTCATCATATTCCTCCTGGCTGCTACTTGCTTCCCGCGACGAATAATCGACCTCGGCGGCGGTGATGGCAGCCAGATGCTGCAGACGACGTCGGCGACTGTGCTGGTGGAAAGGTCGGGAACCATCTTGCTCCACCCGAAGACCCGTCGTGATGATGTCGTCGCTGGTGCCGGTCGAGGAGAGGGAGGACGAAGACGGCTGAGACGCGACTTCAATCCACGAATCTATATAATACCGAAGTGAGTACATGGTGGCGGTGGTACCATCGAAAGTGTCTGAACAAGAAGTATAACATCTGCATGCTGAAATGTCTCTGCAGGGGCAAGGGCTTAGGGGAGGGGAGGGACGGGGAGGGGTAGGATATGTATTATCTCCAGGGCGTGGCGTACCTTCGGATCTCGTGGGAGCAACACCCGACGGAGGGCGTGACTGAAGGGGATTCTGATGATGAACATCGCGCGTCACTGGACCGCCCGGTCGGGACCCTTCCTGCACCTGACCCAGCAGGTCATAGTGGTTGGGCTGCATGGCTCTCTAGTGGGGAGGCAACGGCGAGATGGACACAGTCAAGATGGACAGTCGAGATGGACAGTCGAGAGCAGAAGCGTCCCTACAATGAAAAGGACGACGAGAGAGAGGGGAGAGGGAACGATATAGATGGATGAATAGATAAGTGGGATGGAAAAGTAGGCGGGACCAGGCCGTCAATGTATATCAATCAGGCCACCAAACACTGCAAGCCTCCCGGGCTGTACTTCGTAGCGGTCAAGACTTGTGGGTGGCCACGCAGCAATGCAACTGGTTCTGGCGGGGGTGGATGTGAGGGGGGCGATAGTCGCACTCTAAATGATGGATTATCTTATCAGGTTCCCCTCCCGCAGTGGAGAGAACGGATCGTCCAATATATGAAGGATGTACTTCTTTGTCTGGCGGTGTCTTCAGTGTCTTCCCCAGGTTGTGCGATGGTGGCTTTGTGTTCGTATTTTCTCTTTTTCTTTTCTCTGGGACTGGACCAGAACCACAAAGGAGGGGTGACAAGGGAGCAGAGAGGCTAAAAAGGACAAGAGGCTGAGCCAGTCAGCTCTGGGATTCTCTGCT